AGTATGGGATTTCCCGAAACAGATAAACTAGAGTTTCCAATCAAACTACAAGAAGTTCTAACTTCTCAAGGATTAACTTGTCAACCAATTCTTTTGTCACAAATTGGCAATAAACAATCATCCAAAGAATTTGATAGGGTTAATAGTGAATTGATAAGAGGAATTTCGTTAACAATTGTTAATGAAATAATACCAATTAAATCTTCTGCTCACATATTAATTAATAGGTATTTATATTGATTTATATATTCCCTTATACACATGTAATATAATTAACTGGCTTGAGTTATTTTTATTTTAAGAATAAAATTACAATTTCAAATGATAAAACATCAAGCAGATCTTTTACAGGATCTTAAAAATACCATGGAAGAGAATAAACATGTTAATTCAGAATTGGATGATCGTGTAAATAAAATCAAACAAAAACATTCTTTTCTACAACTTAAAGCCAACTAAATAATTCAAAAAAGAATAATTCAATCAAAACCAATTATCGTAGAATTTGAAAATGAGTATTTTGATATGTTAAATCGAGTTCAAGAAGATTTAAATGATGAAAATGGTTTAAAAGCTAAAGTAAAACAGGTAAATTTGTTTTATATAATATATATATATAGATATATAATATAATATATTTAATCATAATTGTTTTTAAATACAAAAACCTTTTATATATTTAAAGATACAATCACGGCACTCAAAACTGTCTAAATACAATCAGCCAAAGTCAAAATCAAATCATTCTAATTCTAATCAAATTCATTTACTCACCGGAAGTCAATTACACAAAGTTGAGACTGCTTTAGACAAAGAGTAAGAATAAATCTTGATATTTTTTTTTTGTGGTAATCAATATCAATCAATCAATTAATCATGTACTTTATTAGGATGGAACTTATTGAAGAAGCAACAAGTAAAATCCAGGTAGCACAAGAAAAACTAAAAAATTTGAATTTGGATAATATTTCCATAAAAGAGTAATTAAAGACTTTAAAAAAAAAGGAAGAGCTCTATACTATTTTTTTTTTTTTTGAGAAAAAAAAATTAAAAAAAGTTTTGACAAATTAATTAAAATTTGAGTCACTATTTTGCCAAAGTAATTGATTGTATGTAAAATGTTGCGACCATAGTTGTTAAGTTTCTGTTCCAGTGAGCACCGGAACACTTATTCATGAAACACTCTATTATTTTTAAATCGCGTGAATAAATTATTAGCCAATTAGAAGTTATTTATCTTTACTATTTAGGAAATATACCATCACTATTTGTAAAGTTAATAAATTAACTAATAACTTTTTTTTTTACATAAAAAGCCAATTATATAAAGTGAATTTGACTTAAAAGTTCGGACTTTCAAATTAAGCATCTATTTATAGTACGACTGTATATTTTAGTGTCAATTTATGGAAAGACTTAATGGATTAAAAATACCAGTGGTGTAAAAAACTCATTCGAAATACAGAAAATTTCTTTCTTTATTGTAATACTTC